TGGAGAAAGGTAAGAAAACTGACTTTCGAGTGGGCATCTATGCAAAGTTAAACATCTAGAAAATAGCACTTTAAGTGAGTAAAAATATGACAGAAAACATTTAAAAAGAATAGGAATAAAAATGAATGTCTAGTGCAGGAGGTTAAAATATATTATAAAAGCTAAAATAATGTAAGCTCAATTATAGTAATTAACAGATAACATATAAACCCTAAAATAATCTTAGTATATAAGAATTAGTATATGATAAGGAAACATGATATATGTATAAGGGAGTTATTATCAGATACAGTATTGGGGAAAATTATGAGTTTGGTATTCACTTTACAATAGTCACCAAAATAAGTTTTAAGTGAAAAAAAAAGGTTAAAATTTAAAACTAGAGGAAAATATTAGTGAACATTAAACCAACTACTTGAAAGCAAAGGAATCCAAAAATTAAAGTAATTAAGGAAATCAGAGAAGACTAATTGTCAAACAAGAAATTTAAAATTTCTTTAGATCAATCCACAGTAAATATTAAAGCAAATCTTAGGATGTCAAAAATATTTACAACATATTAAACAGGATTACAGTCTGCTGTATGGGCCTCCCTGGTGGTACAAGGGGTTTAGTCGTAGCACTATGAAGCTCTCCACAGCCACTGCACTGCAGCCACCTTTCACCGTCCCTGCACCTCTGGCTTATGCCCCAGTTCTATGTGCATAAATAAATAAATCTTTTTTTTAAAAAAAAATGTCCATACTCATCAACCCAATCATTCTAATTCCAAAACTCTAGTGGAGGAAAAAAGATATGTTCAATGATGCTTGTCTAAGTATGATAATTCAATCCCTGGTCAAGGAGCTGATCCACATGACACTCCAGTCTCCCCTGCTTCACCCTTTAGCAATGTATTTCAGTATATTCACCAGTTCTGCTGCCTACTCTGTCTCTGGTGAATCCCCTTATCCCCTGTACCTCTAGCCTGTACCCCAATTCTTGTATGCATAAGAAATCTTTTAAAAAATAATTTGTTGTATATGTAAATGTTCAATGTGATACAATTAAAGAAACAGAAGAAATAAATGTATTAATTAAAAATTGGTAAATATTTTAAAGATGAAATACTTAAAAGTTATAATGCCTAATAAGGATGCAACCATTCTTCATGAATGTGTAAACCAATTAAAAACATCTTCAATAAGGTAATTTGAATATAGATATCAAGAATCTTAAAACTGTCCATACTCGGGCCCTCCCTGGTGGCACAGTGGGTTAAAGCACAGCACTAAGAGGCTAAAGCCACTTCAACATGAGTTCCATCACTGCCTGTCCCAAAGTGATCCACCTGGTGTGGCAGACTTCTCCTGACCTGCCCGCTGCTCTCCGCAGCAGTGTGCTTCATTTATCTGCCTGTTCTGCTCCCTACTCTGTCTCTGGTGAAGCCTTTCACCGTCCCTGCACCTCTGGCTTATGCCCCAGTTCTATGTGCATAAATAAATAAATCTTTTTTTTAAAAAAAATGTCCATACTCATCAACCCAATCATTCTAATTCCAAAACTCTAGTGGAGGAAAAAAGATATGTTCAATGATGCTTGTCTAAGTATGATAATTCTGAATTACATTACTAACTAAAACAAGTAATAGTAACAAAAACAACTAGGAACATTCAACAAGGAAATATATCCAATAAATTATGTAATATTACATAATCATTATAAACAATACTTTAATAGATAATTTAATCCTTATGAAATACAATTTCTTATTGTTATTCTCTTTTTGACATTTTAATTTTTCTGTAAGCAAAATTAAAAGATGTAGAAACAGAGGAGTAAACATATTTCACATAATCTAGTTATTAACAATATAACAAATCAAGAAAATGATGCACTATCAGCAATGATTAATATTAAACCTCTTGCTTGGCTGTGGGGTTACTATTATACTTCTAAATTGCCTGCTACCATGGCTAATTGAATGTTGGCATGATTACTCCATACCAATTGGCATTGGCCACAGATAAATTGCTGTGATTTTGAAATCAGTTATTTTACTCCATCTGTTCTCTTCATTTTTCAAGTCAGCTGTCAAATCAAACATGCAAGTCCTCCTAAAAGTTGTAGAACACTTACATGTTAACCAACATAAAGGAAACAATTGTGTAACATGCAGATGTTTGGTAGGATTTGACAAGAGGAACTCAGAGAGACTGCACAGGAAGTGTGGTACATGCTGACAGTTGTCTTGGAGTGCTGATGGGAAAGTGTGATATTTATAATAACAGTATTTAACAATCTTGTATTAGTTATGAATACTTGGCATAAGTGCCAAGAAAATTTGGCAATTAAAAGTGAAATCTTAAGAATACATTTCAACTCTGATCTGCTTTTTCCAGTTTTAGTCTGATTTACTTCAGCTAAAAGTAATAAATGCATGAGACTAAGTAAACGCTGTAAGTAATTTCTTGATTTAATTACTGGATACATTGCATTTCTTCATTCCCATTCTAATTAAAAATTTCATTTCTAATATTTTTCTATCACTCATAAAGCATCTCTATGATTTTAAGTATGAAAATACCTTTTGATACAGTCTCCAAGTTCTACTATGTAAGCATAACTTTAGGAATTATACTGCAAGTCATGGGAGAAAGAAAAGAATAAAGACAGTTGCTAAATCTGTACAATCTTTTGTTCTGAAGCACAGTTGAAATGTTATATTAAAACTTTTATATTATATCATTTATGTTCAATTTATTGTAAACGTATTCCCATTTTTCATCCTTGCAATGTGACTTTGCAGCTTATATCATCAAAAAGTGGCAAGAAGGAACCTAACGACATGCCACAAAGAAGGGATTTTGAGGACCTCCCCCTTCAGAAACAGGTCAGAATCTGTTTCAGAATCAGTTGCAGATCTATTTCTTAGACTACAGACTCCCCACCTGCCTCGAGCTAGTCTGTAAGTCAAAGGATCTTCTTTGAATAATGTTGACCTGACTTTGAGATCATTCTACAAGTCTAAATGATAAATTAGAGCAGCGTAAGCCTGAAACTAGCTGTTTTCTGGGAGATTTCTATCAGCATAAGTAACGGATTTTGTAAAGAAAAAAACATCCCTTCAGGTTTCACTTCAGGATTGATTGGATTGAACTGTTTGCTCCAGCAGTAAGTAAAAACTCTACTTGTTTTAAGTTGCTTTAGACTCAGGAATATATTTCAAGTGAGGTCCTAGATACTTGTTCAAGTTTCATGGGTTCTACTTTGGACTAAGGGCAGTGTGAAAAATTGAGGAAACAGTGGAGTTTAAGAGTTAAGCTGCCTAAAAGTTAGGTTTTCTTACCATAATAAAAAATAGATTTCTCTACTTGATATATACTGGATTATAGCTGATGATTTTATATACTGAAAATCATCCATTGTATTTTCTCTTTGACAGATGATATAATTCTTCTCATTGGGTCAGTCATGTGTGTTTGAGAGATAGGACATCTCTGAACAGCAGCTTCCTACATTATTTCACTTTGTAACTAGTAAATTATGTCATTAAAATCAATCAAACTTTAAACATAGTAAAGTACAGAACACAGTAATTAAAAGGGGCAGCAATTTCTGTAATTATTCAGCTTTCCATTCAATAGTCTTTTTTTTTTTCCAGAAAACAAATTATGTTGTAAACAGTCCAAGAACCTCATTCTGGTGTCACACAAAATTGAGTACTTTATAAACCTTTCTTGTTTAATCTAGAAACAAAAAGTTTCTAGTCTAGAAATAAAAAAGACAATTTCAACTATTTAGTTTATGAAAAACTTTAAGAGTTAAAGATCAGAATGAAGCATGAAGCACAGAAAAAACTTAAATATCTCAAATATGGCAAACTTTATTGCTTTATTTCTTCCTGATAATTTCAACCATTCTTCATAAATATTTTCACTTTACAGTGAAATTGCCTATTTAAAGTTAATAGTAAATAGAAATGAGGAATTAGAAGGGAAATCTTTGAAACCAAAAAAAAAATTTTCTATACCTCAGAGTTTTTAATAATCTTACTGAGAAATACCAATATGTTTATATTGGTCTTTATATACTAATGTATATAAAACATCAATGTGAACGCTAAAATTTTGTGAGATATTGACTTTATAGACAATTTGTTTTTTGTTCTTACTCTCACCTATTTCTACAGGTAAAAATATCATTAACTAAAACAGAAATATGTGTAAATAAAGAATTTATTTAAAGTCTTAGTCAAGCAGTGATGTCATATTAAAGCAAAGCATTCAAAGGATTCTTAAAAAGAGAACTCTACTTCTAAAAGAGTTATCAGCTAGTGGAATTAGCTCAGTTGTATAGCTATTCTTTTTTATCCCGCAGTTCTTTGAGGGAAATTATCAAGCAGCTTACAACATGTGTAGTTTGTCTCATTGTTATAATGTTCATTCCTCCTCATTTTTTCTATAAACATTTTTGAAGAAGCAAATAATTACTGACCAAAAAAAGCCCATAACTGTAGATAATATACACTAATTTGAGATTACCTCTTCCCCTTTCTAGTCTCCCTTCTGGCTGTCCAAAACCATGACATTTTATAAAACAAAGGAAAGGTGCTATTTTTGTTTAAAGTGATACTACACTTCATGCACAACTTTTAAACAGATCCTGTATTTAGACTCTTCCAAGAAAGTATTTTTTCTGTTGGGCCCTGACCCTAGAATACATATAAATTAATAACTTATTTAAAGACCAGAACACAGTGAAACAATGATGTTTTAACACAAAAACAAATGCTAAGTGAGTTTCAGTCATTAATATATAAATGAGATATATTTAACTAGAAATACTTAAATATATCTACCATTCGAATAAGTTTATAAATTTTGACAACCATCAACATTAAATCTCCCTAATCCAAGCAAACATTTAAAATTATTTTTTAAAAATAATTAAGCAACATAAGAAAAGCACAAAACAAGTTAGGTATATTACTTTGAAATATTTTCAAGAATGTATTTTACCTTTTCACCAATTTCACCTTTGCTGCCTTCAAAACCTTGCTCTCCCTGTCGAAGAAAAAAACAATGGGTATAATAACAGGGAAATACTTCTTTTAACACATGTAGTTATACAATAATAGTGATGTTTCTAACAATGAAAAAATCAGTAAGTAAAAAAAATTCTTAATATGTTAAACAAAAGTTAAATATTCCTACAAATTGAAGAAACAGTTTTTCTGACGTAAGATATAATTTCATTAAACACTAACACAGTTCAATTTCTATAAACATAAATTCCCCATATATGGTACTTTTCTCAGAGGAGTTTTGAGAATCAAATGTATAAATATGGTACAGACTGTTATCCATTATTAGTAGTACTACTACTTTCATTAGATCCATGAGAAACCAACTTTTCAATATGACTTTTATTGAATGTCATTCCAGACAGGGTTTTGTATGAATGAACTTGGGGTTTGAACCATAGACTTCTAGCTCTGGCTTTGACACCAATACCATGCTTCTCACCACCGAGGTCTCCTGCCATTTAGGGGCAGAAAGAGGGCTGCTGGTTATATTTTTGCTGGCTTTCAGCTACTGTATTTATTCTAAAAAGGCATAAGTCCCCTATTTCAACTAAACCCTCTCCAATCTGACAAATTTATTGTCCCACATAATTCTACACTGATGTCGTAGTACTGATGTTTCATGCATATAACCGACAAATGTTCAGTGTATGTCTTCTATATTTTAGGTTTTCATGGCAAGATAGTCAGCAAGTATGCGTTGGGGTGAGTCCCACTAAGAAGCACTTAGTATGCATTTCTTTAGTGCACGGAAAAGGGATGAAGAATTTCTTATTTGTATTTTTTGTATTTTTTTCCTGTATATTTAATATAGTTAAAAATCCTAAGTCAGAAGCAATGCCAGTTTTTTATGACATGTGCAGTCTCTATCATATATATATATATATATATAATATATAAATATATGTATATATGTATATACACACATAGGTTGTTACATAATTATTTCTGCTTAATCTACCCTCAAAAAAAGTATAAGGAAAGGAAATGGGTCATATCTGGATATATTTGCCATTGAATGCCTGGTCTATCTTTTCTCTACTACTTTCTCTAACATACATCATAGATTTAAACTTGATCTGTTAATTCAAGCTGACATCGAAGCTGCTAAATACTCCCAGGATACCAGCCACAATGTCAGCATGATGCAGCCACCACAAACAGCTGCTGGAAAGTCCAAAACTATTTCCCAGCAGATAAATCTGCACATCCCTTGGTTTGCAACTCGACTCCCAGATGCAGCACATGCTGTATCAATGGGTTTTGTCTAGAACTGCTATGAAGAAATTCACCAATTTGCCATTTCATCACTGCCAGTTTAATCTAATTTTATCAAACCAAGTAAGGAAGATTTTTCAAAATCTGTAACTATAAATAAGTGCATTATCTATTCTAATGGCAATGTTTAGCTAGAGAAAAATCTAGATGCAATAATAACTTCAGACATCTTGTTGCTATGACCTGTGAAACATCTCCAGAACATAGAAATGATATGCTTGGCTTTGGTGGGCATCTAATATTGCAGCAATAATGCTGTCCCTTGCGGTGGGATTAGCTGATGGTATTATGACAGCTGGCCCCACCTGAAGTAGCTCCCCATAGCTCCAGGAAGCTGGAATGGACCAGAATCAGTGTTTCCAATAATACTGGTCACATACAATATAAAGCAGCCCTTGGAGAGTAAAACATTACAAATGAAGTTCAGCTTGGTAAAATTACCTTGGTAAAGGGAAAATACCAGGTACAGAAATAAAGAATCAGCCTAGTTAATGCAAAAATGCTCATTTATTTTGAGAATGTTTTAAAAGATTAATTGTAATGTCTTTTTATGTCATTGTAATTATTATATTTAGAAAAATCTAGGATACCCACAAAATCAGATAAATAATAAAATTGAGTCAAAGATAATAAAAGCTGTTTTATACCATTGAAAATCTTTCTAGGTATATAGATTCCTATGCCACCAGAAAGCACCATTGTTGACTTGTCTGGAGAAGAGGGCTGATAAATCTCTGATAAAGCTCTCAGAGTGGTTCCTTTTAAGATAGGACTGCTTCCACGGGTCTACGGAAAAATTTGTTAATGCCTTGCTAAAAATGTCTTTCGGGGAGCTCTATTTCATCAAATACATTTTCTGAAATTTTCCTGTATTATATGAAAGTTCCGTTTTCAAGATGTTGAAATTCTTGGCTTACATGAAATATTAAAAATTCCTTACCTTTTGACCAGGTAAACCAGGAGCTCCATGTAAACCACTTTCACCCTAAAAGAAGTATACAGGGTAAGTTTTACTAGCCTTAAAAAATGAATTTAGAGGCCCTCCCTGGTGGCGAAGCAGGTTAAAGCACTGCACTAAGAAGCTTAAGTCACTTCCGCATGAGTTCGATCCCCGCCTGCCCTGGAGGTGACCACATGGCGTGGCAGACCTCTCCTGACCAGCCCGCTGCTCCCCTCAGCAGTGTACTTCATCAATCTGCCTGCTCTGCACCCCACTCTGTCTCTGGTGAATCTTCTCACCCTCCGCATCTCTAGCCTGTACCCCAGTTCTGTATGAATGAATAAATAAATCTTTAAAAAAATGAATTTAGAAATGTTTAGTTCTAATTTTGTGAGAAAAGTAGCCCACTATAGAATGTACATATGTGTAGGGTTTTCTATATGTCCTTCATCTTACAACTTAAGGATTAGTACTTCCATTTATAAAAAAAGAAAAAAAGAAAAGAAAGTCTCTGAAAGTCCACTAATATGTTCATGGTCACCCAACTATTGGCAATATCTGAAATTCAAAGTGAGGTCTCTTTAACTTCACAGGCTATGTTTTTCCCAGAGCCTATTTAGTAGCCCTTATTTCATTTTTTTTCTTTTTCAAACTGCTGGGCACAATATTAAAATCTGACATAAGCTTCCTATGGGACTGTTCTCACCACAACTCTATAGTTGTGGTGAGTGCTAGTAATATGACCATCTTATTGCAGATGATCAGACAATCAGGAAGAGGCAGACTGGAAATTGAACCCACACATCTTTAGTTTGAAGAACCAAATGATAACCCTACACTATCTCATGGAAAATATTTAATTCTGGTTTATAAGTGACCTCTCATATAAAAATTGAAATATACAGACATACATACAGTGTGTAGAGTCACCTCTTTGACAAGTCTGGTTTTTAAACAAAAGACCAACTTTAAACACTAACGAGAAACTATGTTGCTAAGTGTAATAAAGTATTCAAACATCAATATAAAATACAGTGTGCTGTATCTATTTATCTATCAAAAAGTATACATACATATATTTACTCCTTTGCTCATATCTATTGACTGCTTTTGTATCAATTTTAAAAACATAACAAAATGCTATCTTATATCAAATTATTACTTGGTAGAATTTTTAGTTCTATACATTTATCTGGCTACTCTTTTGGGTAAAAATGTTTCAGCAGATGCCTGTAAGTTTCCGTTACTGGAATTCATGGGTCATTTTTGACAAATACAGTTTGTAAACAGCATTCTAGCTAGAAAGAGACACTTCTGGGAGTATATTGTCAGTTTTGCCCCTGTTAGAGGAATTGACTTTGGGGCCTAGGTTTAGACAGTTCAAAGCAAATGTTTATAATTAATTTATAAGACAACAGCAATTCATAAGGTATAAATTAGCATATTTATAAGGCAACAGCAATTTGTTTAAATGGCTTTAAATTATCATTTCTTAGAATAAATTTGAATTCATGAAAAAATATTTTTTTCAAAATAAATAAAACAGCAATAGTATAGTCTTTCCAGATACAAAGTGTCATTGCTCCAGAGCTAGAAGGTTATGCACATATTATTTAAAGATTATGATTATAGTGGCATTTCACAGCATAGTATCATTATTACAAACTATACTAGACATTAAGATAATGAATATATTCCTATTTTAAAAATTTAGTTATAGGCCTCAGGTATCACACAAGTATACTAGAAACTTGCTATTTTTTTAAATAAAAATTTTATTATAGTATCACCAGTTTACATCGTTGTCAACATTTTAGAAGTATAGGATCTCCCCCATCAGAGATGGTGGATAAGTCTGTGCAACTTATCCACCACCAACATACCTACTTTCCCTTCACCTTAATCTGCTCTGCTCTCTCCTTACTCTGTTCTCAAACTTTCCTTTATTCCTTCCATTCTGGTTGCCTGTGTTCTAGGTTCCCTGGTTAGTAAAGGCATATTAAGTAGCTCAGACCATGGGACAGTCTATGGAAATTGAGCTTCTGTTACTCATCACAAAAGTATTTCCACTTGTCCAAAAGGAACAGAATTATTTTCATCTGTTGGTCCAATATAATGTTTTATATCATATTACACATTATACACTATAACAAGATATGGTGTGTAATCCTGTAAAGTACACTGATACAGTATACACTGCCAGAAATACTTTTTGGAAAGAAAAGTAGTGGCAGTATCTTTGTCTTTGCTCACTGTCCACTCCTATGAACTATGTGTTCCAAACACTGGTACTGAAAATCCCATCTCTAGCAAATGTGAAGTTGGGGCTCCATTCAAATATACTACACTGTTAATTGGGTCCTGACAGACTAAAAAAAGTGATATTGAGATGTTTCTCTTTGAGGGATAATGGTTTTATACTTGTTGCAATTAAATGTTATGTTTTCCTGAATGCTATGTTTCCAGTGTGAACTGGCAATTTTAATTCCAAACCTCAAGATTACCTAATGGACAGCACATTACTTTCACAGAAAATGAGTATGCTTCACATGACACAGCAACTTTTAGCAGATGTTTGAGCTATCCTGGTTATGTGTGGAGCTTACAGATGGCAATATAGGTAGAGAGGAATCAACATTTTCTTCTCACTGTTTTTTCAAAGTAACCAAAGATGTCGTATTTAGAAATTTAAAATCATTTAGAATCATGCCAATTTCTTAGACCTGACAGGTAAATCAGTATATTTGTTTCTCCTTTAATGCCAAAGAAAGAGCTCTATTAATTAGCATAAGAACTAAAGAAGAAAATCTTAAAAAGCAAAATTTTGTTTAACAGGTTAACGGATGATGACTCTGCCAAGACTTTATTTAAAACCTAATTTGTATCAACAGAATAAGCTCTTCTTTATATCCACACTGACTTGCATTCGAAAGATCTGGTGCTCATGCATTTGGGGTCACAGTGACATTTACTAAACAATGGTTGCCTAAAGGAACTGGATGGACTTCGTTAGTTGTTTTGTTTCTAAAATTTTGCTGCTCTTCCTTCCTTCCTTGACAGTTTTCCATTGGTTATAGGATATAACTTCCAAAATTTGTTTCTGAAGGATATGTATTTTATTATAGATTTTTTTTCAAGGGCCTATGTTCCCTTCCTGTTACAAATTCAGGGGGAAAACCTGGCAAAAGAATAAGTATATGTATTATCAAGCAGGATAAAAATCTAACTCAAATGCTCAAACATTCTTGTCTCTGCTATTACTGTAATACATAGTATGTCTTCAATTGCAGAGAATAATTTACAGTGCCCTCTCCAGAATTCAAAGTAACATTTTTAAGCTTTTAGGAAAAAACTTAAGGTACATTTTAGAGTCAGCTGGTAGCTTTCTGAAAGATTGATTGAGGATTTCATTTTACTCCCTTTTTATCACTTCACATTTCCTGGTAGTAAGCAGTTAGGCATAAAAAATAAATTATTAGTTCTGATTCCTTTGACATTAGGATAAATCTCTTTTCTTGCTATGCAGGAAGCACCTGTTCTCTAAAGAATACTTAATAGGAATTCCACTTCTTCAGGTTATAGTGGTTATAGTTCACTAACCTAGTCCCAATATGACCAAAGAAAGGTATATTAAACACCAAACAAAAATTTCTAATTACCTAACCTAAGTCCATCATATATAAAGTTGCTGATTCTTTCTTTTAAAATTTAGGCATCTGGCCTTTAATTAAAAAGCGTGAAATACTATCTATACTATTTCCATATTGAAATGTTTAATTTATTGAAATATTTACTCACACCTATCATTTCAGTTAGTCATGTATTACAAAACATCATCTTCTTCATAAATTTGGCATATATTTGGAAATATATCAATTTTTTTTTACAAATTACTTCCTATTCAGGGACCTCCCTGGTGGCACAGTGGGTTAAAGCACAACACTAAGAAGCTAAAGCCACTTCAGCATGAGTTCGATCCCCACCTGGCCTGGAGGTGACCCACATGGCCCAGCAGACCTCTCCTGACCCGACCACTGCTCTCCTCAGGAGTGTACTTCTTCAGTCAGCCTATTCTGTTCCCTACTCTATCTCTGGTGAATCCTCTCACTGTCCCTGCACCTCTGGCCTGTACCCCAGTTCTGTATGCATAAATAAATCTTTAAAACAAACAAAAAAATCAAATTACTGCCTATTCATTAAGAGACATATTTATCCAAGTTGAATGAAATAACTGGAATAAATGGAAAGCCAAAATTCTAGCATAAAAAATCAACTCTACAGGCAAATAAACACAAATCTGAGTTTGACTTTGTATATCACTAACTTAATCTCTACATTTTGGATTGTAGTCCTTATTTATTTGGGTTGTCTTTGGAAATTGAATTTTTATGTATCTCTTAAATTGTTGGTGATCAACTAGATAATTCAGAAAATAAAATATATGCCTCCTATATTTTTCAGTTTTCTTATGCAATTGGAGTCCTTTTCATTCAGTGAAAGAATATTATCTTCCCTTCTATTTTCTAGGATTTTGTTCCAAGAAACAGACATGTTAAAATACATACTGCATTGTGTTTAAAAATTGAAACTTTAAAAATTCTTTTTATTTACTAGCTCCTTAATGAAACTAGCACATGGTGGTATATTATCACATTAATACTCAAGATAAGACAATTTTAAGTATTTTTAATTATAAAATGAATTATACTCTACTATGAGTCTTGTGGGTCATTTCAAGGAAGAGAAAGCAAACCTACAAAAGGTAATGTGTGGCCCATATACATTTACACTACACAGTAATGTATGTAAATATGGGTAGTTATTAGCAACTGAACTTAACACCTATTATATCAAAAGCAACATCCTGAATATATGTGTATGTATGTATGTGCACATATGTATATGTATATGTGCACACAAATATATGCATGCGCTCATATTTAGGAAAAAATATTGAAAGTCGTAATTATAGGGGCAAGCAGAATTTCATACATTTATAGCTACTACCTCTACCAAAGAACATGTATAAGTACTGACTCTACTGA